CCCCAAAACCCCAAAACCCCAAAACCCCTCAGATAAAATTTGATGAAAAAATCGATATTAAAAGTATTTTAATGGAAAACCAAACGAGGATCAGTTAGAAAAATAAACAATAGTCTCAGAATATTCCAAAAAATAGTTAGACTGAGAGTAGTGATCCAGTTGCAATCAAATAGGAATTCAAAAAGACATTAACTATGCGGCAGAATCAACTATTGGAGGCGATAGACAAAGGTGATAAAGAACTGTTCGTAAAACTTGGAGGCATTTCTAACCAGGATCTTAATTTCGAAGTTTCTAGTGAGGGTGTGTTTCCGCTTCTTATAGCTAGTGCAAAGGGAGAGTAAGCCTTCATCAAATTTTAGCATTATAATGGTTATAGCAAAGAGATGGTATCTCTAATTCTGTAAAATCCAACAATCGACATCTCAAAGACAGACATTTATGGAGTGAATTCTTTCTGGATTTCTTCATTTTATGGTTATTATGAGGTAGTTTTTGTATATTAAATTATATATTTAGATCATGAAGCTTCTAGTTTCTAAAGGAATTGATACTATGAGCAAGAACTAAAATGGTTCGAATGCCTTGCACATCTCAGTTAAAAAAGGGAATATCGATGTAGTTAAAAATCTGATAGACATGCATTACCCTCTCAATAATATTAAAAATAATGGCGTTACAGCAGTCGGGATTGCTGCCTACTCAGGTAATGTTAGCTTAATAGATATACTCTACAAGGCTGGGGCTGATATAAATTTCATTTCGAAGCAAGGCATAACAGCTCTATATCTTGCAATAAAGTAAAATAAGCACAATTGTGTGAAGTACCTGATAGACAGAGGAGCTTAGATTCATTTGAAAGATCCCAATTTCGAAGATGTTTCCCCAATATTTTTCGCAATAAGGATGAATAATCAAAAGGTAATTGAGATGATGTGTGATACTGGAATTAACTTTGAGACGCTGAAGAATAAGTAAGACTATGATCCCATCCACTATGCATGCAAGATTGAAAGGGATGATATAGTAAACTACTTAAGTTTAAGAATGAAAAATCTAGATACTGAGGATAAGAAAGGGAGGACTCTGCTCTTTAAATATCTATAAATTGATGAGTTTGAGATGTGCTTAAGGCTTTTATAAAGAGGGGCATCTATTAATCATAGAAATAAAGACGGAAAAACAATTCTTATAATGCAAGTAGAAGCGGGTAATGAGGAGGCAGTTAAGTTCCTTTGTGGAAAGGGGTTAGACTTTCATATTAAAGATAACAGCGGTAATGATGCTTGCTACTATGCTAAGAGAGGTGTAGTATTTGCATCATGGCCTGAATTCGGTTAATGCCCTTATGAAATCAGATAACCTCCTATTCTCTAATAATCAATTGATTAAGTCTTATAACAGGATGATGATTTTATAGTAGATAGCAAATTGGATTAGTTGCAAACTGGAAGACTACCAGCTGAGGATGCCATCACTCCTATAAAGATTAACAATTTACCAGAGATAAAGGTGCCTGAGATAAAATAAATCTTGGAATCTGAGGATAATCTAAAACGATTCCAAATAATTGACATGATTTAAATTCCAGAGACATATTCACTTAAAATGATCTAAGATCTAAAGAAATAAGATGATTAGAAATTTAAACTTGATTTAGATAACCTACCTAGAGATGGGTAAATAGAAGATTATAAAAATGAGTAGAAATTTGAATCCTTTTCACAAAATATTACTATTTTTTCCAAAAGAAATAGTTCTTTACATCCAGCTGACACTCACTCACTATTAAGGAATGAGTAAAATAATGATTTGAAGAGCAGAAGGTCAACTGAAAGAGAGAGAGTCAAGGTTGAGGCTGAATAAAAGAAAAATGAACTTCTTAAAAAGTTAACCAGTGAAGAAAGACCTATGGATACCTTTACAAAGTCTAGAGCATCGGGAGTTAAAATAATAAATAATGAACTTGAAGATAAACTTTAGAGAAAAGAGCAGCATCTAGAAGCTGAATCAAGGAAACTAGAATAAATAATACAAGAGAAAATGAGGGACTAGGAGTCACGTTTAAGGTCAATCAGAGAGAGCAGTCATATGGTAAACATTGCACAGATGTAATTGCCTTCATTGACTGATCAGCTTAACACTCTGCAGTCTAATAATAATAGCATGCTTTCATCGATACCAATATCAAGAAATGAAACCACCTTTGACTTCAAGATGAGACAGACTAGGAATCTAAAAGGGATGGACTCTATTAAGGAAACCATTGATTAATAGAGAAAATTCCTAGAGTCTCGAGAGCTAATTAATAAACTAGAGTAAAAACGGCATAGAGAGCGAAGGGAAATAGATAATATGCGCTAGACAGAACTATCAAAGCTCAATAGTTTGCCAGATAAGGCGGCTGATAACCTCTCAAAGCTCAGGTCTTAGCTCTAGAGCGAACTTAGCACAGCTTCATTGAATAAAAGCAGTAAATACGAAAAATCTTCAATTCACAAAGAGATCAGAAATCTGCAACATAAGCTTTCACCTAGAAATTAAACACAGATCAGAACTATAGACTTAAAGGCTAGGAAAGATAATGACTTCATGAAAAATGACAGTGGGTTCAATACAATATAGAATAGAAATGATACCTCTAGGAGTCTGATTGGATATCAAAACCCAACCTTATCGACACTTGCCTAAAGACTAGCTAGTGATAGAAAATCAATAGTGGAAAATGCTTATTCTAATAACTAAGGAAATTCAAGAAATGCTGGGGGTTCTGGATATGATTACTCATCAGTTGATAGAATTAAGAATAACTCAAATGAACTGCCTTCATTAAGAAGTAATTATCAGCTTTAACTGCCACAGCAATCTAATAGTAATTCAAATAATCAAAGTCAGAGCAGCAATATCAAGCCTCTTTACTTCTCAACAAAAAATTAATTCAATAACAACAATATAAATAACAGCTTTGATGTTGCTCTAAAAGATAATGTTTACACATAAAATAATTTGCTCTCTTAAAATCCAACTAATGACCAATTTAATGTCGTTAGATTTCCCTAAGCCATGAGATCGAAATACAATCTAAATGATAACTCTTATTACCCATAAAAGAATTAGCCGAATTAGACAAATTACAGCATTCGACCTCAGTTGTGAATAATAGACTACAATGACTAAGAGAATTCAGACTTATAGCCACCTGATTTAATTATTGATGTCAACATCGAGATTGATAGTTTAGCTAATTAGTATCTCAACAAGCAAAAGAGAACTCTGAGAATCATACCAAAGGTTTAGCAGTCGATGGCTTTGCCTCAGAGACAGAATAATCATGTTTTGACAAGATACCCTATTATAGATCAGTCCATAACCAGACTAGACATCGATGACTTCTCAGTTTAGGAAGATCCTTAGGATACTCTGGCTTAGATTCAAGATAAATTCAACACTATTGACTATAATCATCTGCAAGCCAGAGCGCAGGACAATTTGTCCAGATCTCTTGAGAGGTTTAATCCTATTCAAATTGACAGGAAAAGCAAGAATAGTCTACTAAATTAGACTATGGAGTTTACAAGAACTAGGAACAATAATAACAGCATACTTAGAAATACCCTTGATAACATTAACAGTGGTAATAGTAATTTGAATATGAATTCAACTTTACAATTCAAAAACAGCAATTACAATCTGCCTACCATTCACAACAATGGCTAATTTATTCTTCACACTGATATGAGAGGGGTAAAATGCTTGAGAGAATGCTGTTTGAACCAAGATAGTAAAGCAATGATAAGAAATAGCACAGTTTATGATGAATAATCAGGTGGTCATAGGAGCAAAATAAGATTAAAAGGGTTTTAGCACAATCGGCCCTTCAAAGTGTAAAGAACTAGCTTTAATTTCATTAAACACTATTTTAAATTTAGACACACATTATTTGTCTCAAATGGCTTCATATAATCTGGGGTTTTGGGGTTTTGGGGTTTTGGGG